ACTCATGGGGCCCCCGGGCAATAGAGGATCATGGGGCCCCTGTGTCCTTGCCCAAACTCAAAAAAGCCTATGAAAAAGGTACCAGGGGCATCTCATGGGGCCCCCTACTGAACCCGGGCCCTCGGCAGTGCCCGAGTTTCCAAATGGTCAGTCCGCCCCTGGCATGTACTTCTCTGAAGTCATCATATACTGGCTGCTCATTAGTATTGCTTCCATTAAAATGTTCATTGATTGGGCAGCACAGTGGCTAAATGGTTAGCATTTTCCGTCTGGCAGCACTAGGGTCATTGGTTCAAATCCCAACCACGGCACCACCTGCTTGGAGTTTGCATGTTCTCCCTGTGTCTGCGTGGGATTCCTCCGGGTACTCTGGTTTCCTGCCACACTCCAAAGACATGCTGTTAATTGGATCCTGTCTAAATTGGCCCTGGTATGTGTATGTATGAATGTGAGTTTGATAGGGACCTTAGATTGTACACCCCTTGAGGGTTAGGGACTGATGTGAATGTACAATATATATGTAAAGCGCTGCGTAAATTGACGGTGCTATATAAGTACCTGAAATAAATAAATAAAATATATTTATCAGTTTCATCATCTCATTTTAAAAAATCCTGCTTTTGATTTTGCTGGAGTTGTCCTTTAAATAAGCTTCTTGCTGCAGTGTGAGCAGAATTGGAGGCAGACCAAAGGCACTCTGCAGGTAATAGTCATAAAACTACAGGGAAGGGGAATCTTACACAGAGAAACAGCTGGAGACGGAGACATTTACAGATGATGTTACAGTCTCGCTTGCAGGCACCATTACTGTCACTCTGCTGATGAGCAACAAAACAGCATGCAACCCAGTAGCTCAATGTGCAATAACTTGGGCTGGGGTGCAAATTAAAGATACACTTCAGTCAAAATTGAAAATTAAATGTCAAAGTGCATATAAGAGATGTGGCTTACAGGGATGTTGTTGATCATCAGGCATAGCTATAGTGGAACAACATAATTTAAAGCCACAAAATTCGAAAGTGAACATGTGCTCAGGGGCGGACTGACCATTTGGAAACTTGGGCACTTTCCGAGGGCCCGGGGTCAGTAGGGGGCCCCATGAGATGCCCTTGGTACCTTTTTCATAGGCTTTTTTGAGTTTGGGCAAGGACACAGGGGCCTCATGATCCCCTACTGAGGGCCCGGGGTCAGTAGGGGGCCCCATGAGATGCCCCTGGTACCTTTTTCATAGGCTTTTTTGAGCTTGGGCAAGGACACAGGGGCCCCATGATCCCCTATTGCCTGGGGGCCCCATGAGTTCTCAGTCCGCCCCTGCATGGCTTTGCCCATGCAGGGCAAAACAACAGGTTTACTTAAGCCCCCTCCCCAGAAGCACATACTCACTGCTGTCAGAAACGAAAAATACGTGGAACTTCTGGGTATGGAGGAGAAAGTTAATTTCCTCCCACTTGACAGTACTTGTGCTTGGTACATTGACCCACAATTTTCTGCCCTCATGGACCCATAGCCTGGTAGGCTTGATCCTCATCCTTGGTAAATTGACCCACAAATATCTACCCTGATAGACCCATAGTCTGGTAGGCTTGATCCACATCCTTGGTGGATTGACCCACAAATATCTACCCTGATGGATCCATAGCCTGGTAGGACTGGTCCTTATCATTGGTGGATTGACCCACAAATATCTACCCTTGATGGACCCATAGCCTGGTAGGTTTGATCCTCATCATTGGTGGATTGACCCACAAATATCTACCCTGATGGACCCATAGCCTGGTAGGCTTGATCCTCATCCTTGGTAAATTGACCCACAAATATCTACCCTGATAGACCCATAGTCTGGTAGGCTTGATCCACATCCTTGGTGGATTGTTCCACAAATATCTACCCTGATGGATCCATAGCCTGGTAGGACTGGTCCTTATCATTGGTGGATTGACCCACAAATATCTACATTGATGCACCCATAGCCTGGTAGGCTTGATCCTCATCATTGGTGGATTGACCCACAAATATCTACCCTGATGGACCCATAGCCTGGTAGGCTTGATCCTCATCCTTGGTGAATTGACCCACAAATATTTACACTGATGGATCCATAGCCTGGTAGGCTTGGTCCTCATCCTTGGTGGATTGACCCACAAATATCTACCCTGATGGACCCATAGCCTGGGACTGTCCCAGCCGACAGTTAAATGGGGCTGTGCGGAAAGCTGTCACATTCATGATAGCTACCCTGTACAGCTATGAGTACTGGTGTACTCCAGCTCTGAGTTGGTCTTAAAAGTGGAACTAAACCCATCAACTTAACTGTTTCCAAAAACAGTTACATTCAAAGCATGCCATGAATGCTAACTATCACTATTGCTTGTGTTCTCAACCAAACTGTTCAGTCATCAAATGGCTGGTGTCATAACTGATCACATGTGCTGCATCATGGCAGCTGCAGATCAAACAGCTAACATGGCAGCTTCCTTCCCTGTGAAGGATAGGAGGGTTTAGTTCCACTGTCATTGTCCTAATCAGTGAACTCATAGCAATTCTTTAAGAAACTACCGCTGTCACAGGCAACACAGAAATCGGCGCCCCCGAAGAGAGAGACTGACATTGACCAAGAACACCCCTGCCTCCCACCCAAGAGAACCTTCTACTACCACTGCCCCCCATACACCAGCCACCATCCCCCATGGCGAGAGAGAGAAAGACACTCACCTTCACAGCTCCAGACGAAAGTCGGGCTGTACATACACCGTCATGAAACCCGCAGCCTCTCTCGGAACCCACCAGGTCCCCATTCCGTGTGTGTCCCTTCTTCCGAGAGCCAGTGCTGCCCCCCCCCTGGAAAATGCCGCCCTAGGCAACTGCCTTGTTTGCCTTGTGGTAAATACACCCCTGCCAAAATATTGTTGTTAGGAATATTTTGAATGCTTCTGAATATCTCTGTGTTCTTTATGGAGTAACCTGGAACATTAAAACATGGGAAACAATTATAAAATGTCTGCCTAGTTGATCCAAATAACTTAGCTATGCTAAAATTGTACAAGATGAAATGAAGCCTGTCTCTGCGAAGTCTGCTGTTGTAGCTAAACTGTTATTACCTAGGTTATTTCAAAGTCAAATTTACATAAACGCACTTGATTGCAGGTTAATGGTGTATATAAGTGCGGTATAGCAGGGTGCTCATGTTGTGAACACACTGGGGATAGAAAAATTAATTTATTTTACAACAACTCAAGTAAACTTTTAAAATTTCCAAATATATTCTATTTTATTACTTGCGGGAAATGTAAAACTGTCTCTATTGGAGTTTAGCAGTCCTTAGATGGGGTTACCGCAATAGTTTTCCTTTTTCAGACATTTTAGGAGAGCTCAGAAAATATCTATCAATCTTGCCAGAAAGGAACTGGAACTTGTCATTTCCATGTAATTCTGATGTAATGGAGATTATCAAAGGCAGACATGTTTACAGTGTATTTATGCTTTTGTAGCCAAATTGGGATTATGCCTACTTTATATTTGTTACATGTTCCCATTCACATAGCACGGTTTAAAAATATTTCAAAATTGCTGGTTACCTTTTTTCAGTGCTTTTTACTTGCTTAACCACTTCAATACTGGGCACTTCCACCCCCTTCCTGCCCAGGCCAGTTTTCAGCTTTCAGAGCTCTCACACTTTGAATGACAATTGTGTGGTCATGCAACACTGTACCCAAACTACATTTTTATCATTTTGTTCACACAACTGGTGGTATTTAATCACCACTGGGGTTTTTATTGTTTGCTAAATTACTGAAAAAAGACCAAAACTTTTGAAAAAAACCCCACATTTTTCTTTGTTTCTGTTATAAAATATTGCTACTAATAAATTGTTCTTCATAAATTTAGGCCAAGATGTATTCTGCTACATTTATTTGGTGAAAATAACCCAAATCAGTATTTATTATTTAGTTTGTAGGAAAGTTATAGGGTTCACAAACTATGGGATATATCTGAAAATTAATAAATCCTGAAGTACTGACAGCCAATCGAATTTCTTGATGCCCAAAAATGTCAGAACAGTACAGATATCCCCAAAATTACCCCTTTTTTGCAAAGTAGACAGTCAAAGGTATTTAGTAAAAGGCATGGAGAGTTTTTTAAAGTTGTAATTTTTTTGTCATAACTTTTGGGAAAATTAAGAAATGTTCAATTTTTTTTTTTTAACATACTGTTACCAGTGTAGTACAGCATCATGATTGGTCACAGCAGGACACGTGGTACTGGCAACGGGCTGCTACACAGATGTCATCGGCTGTGTCCAAGGTACACAGCTGGTGACAGATCTCGACAGAGCACGGGCATGTGCGATGCGCGTTTCGGGAAGGACGTCATATGACGCCCACCCGGATCGACGAGAGTCCCGCTCAGCCGCCATTCTGCTATTGGCCAGGCAGAAACAGGTTAAAAATTTTACATGCTCTCCCTGCTTTGGGCAATTAAGAAGGATGTGTGGAGTAATCTGTAACTAACTCTTTCTGTGTTCGCAGTTCTTCATTATCAGCTGTAAACTAGATTTGAATATGATCTGTCCTAATATAGTGTTAAAATGTTAGAAACCGCCCTCCTCCTTGCATTTTATGTTATTGAGGGATAGTGTGGGGACAAAGATATCCTATACAGTATATACAGTAGGTTGGCTAACAAGGGGAGGGGGCAACGCGTTAACAACTGAACTAGAAAAATGTGAAAATTGATTTTTGAGGTGCTTTGACACAACGTATTTACATTAAACAACAATTTTTAATACATGGAAAATATAAAATCCAAACTAAAATTAAAATGACAACCAGTATCTATATACGGTAGTGAACACTTCCCTGTGCAGCAGCTAGTACACTCAGGCAACCAAAAGAAACCTCAGAAATACAATGAAAAATAAAGTGCAGCGCTTGTAATAAAACTACGGTGGAGGAATCAGTCTATAAGTATGAGTACTCCAAAAATCCGCCAATATAAATAATAACTGTAGAAAATGGTAGGATTGTGCGCTTACCAGATGCGCATCGAATATGCGCAAATAAAGAAATTCCTCCTCAGGGACTAATGGTAATGATCAGGGGTGGACTGACAACTCATGGGGCCCCCGGGGATAGGGGATCATGGGGCCCCTGTGTCCTTGCCCAAACTCAAAAAAGCCTATGAAAAAGGTACCAGGGGCATCTCATGGGGCCCCCTACTGACCCTGAGCCCTTGGGCAGTGCCGCCCTGGTAATGATGTATGATGGGTGTCTGTAGGGCATCCGTTTAGGAATGGGCAGCTCTGCGGTAAGTGGAAGATGTCTGCTTGGCTCCAGAGGTCTCCTTTAGGGTCAGCCACCTGTTTACAGGGATTCCCTTCCTCTGGATACTTGTTCAGACTGGTACTTCTGCAGGCTTAAAGGCTCCATATAGAAGCCATAAAAATTGCGCCCATAGTGTAGTAGTTTTAAAAAACACTGAATGTTATTGTAATGACATTCATATAATAAAAGAGGTGACAGGTACACTGACCATAAAAAGATGGCTGCCGGACCAGCTCGTGGCTCCGGCGGCTTGACGTCACAGCTAGTTGATCTCCTGAGGGCTTTCGTGCAACCGCACATCTTCAGAGGAAAAGCAACTAAGCTCTGACAGTTGTGTATCGGGTTTATATACGGTCCACGCATGCGCACCGCGTCACCGCCAAAATGACAACCACCCTGTTGCAAACAGGAGTGTTCCAAGTACCTTCAAAAAGTACCTTCTACAACAGTACCTCATATTCACTAAATATAGTATTCAATTATATAACCAGCAGCAATGTAGCTAATAATTGAAATTCAGTAACAATTGTTGCTTGAGGGGTGTCCAGATGGGAAGGGAAGTCTTGATGCGTTTTGTGGTTGAAGCAGAAAGTGACCTAGTAACTGTATAGAACATATAATACATATATACTGTAGATACATAACAAATACATATGAACAATACAATAAGGGTAACAAAACTGCAGGGTATCACTGGCTCATCAACAATGTGTCCAAAAGAAGCCAAGATCAGGACTAATTGATGCTATAACCTGAAAGGGTCTAACCCTCATCAAAAAAGGAGGGGAACGATAAAGCTACATTGTCTTGAAAACAACTACCTGTAAGTGGTGTGCTGGAGGTCCCAAAAGGTGACCATCATCAAAGACATTTCCTGCATCCATATTTATCTTATCCCATTAGTTGATGGCCCACATACCCAATATCATCAAAAGTGAATCTTTATGTTTCAAAAATGCGCACAAAGGACCAGGGGTGGACTGACAACTCATGGGGCCCCCGGGCAATAGGGGATCATGGGACCCTTGTGTCCTTGCCCAAACTCACAGGAATAACTGCGTTTCCCCCACCCCATTAGTGTGAACCAGGGCTAAAAGTAGATGCTTCACAGATATGACATCGCTTTAGTGATGTATAAAAACTGTTCTAATCAATTTTCTGCTGTCTTATGACGGACTATTAGGTGATCGCTGGTAACTCTTGTTCAGGGGTCTGTATCTCACATATGAGAGTTTACAAAAATAAAAATAAATAGTGAAAAGGAGAGGGGAGATGGAAAGGAAAAAAAGAGGGAGATATTAATTAGAGGGTATTGTTGTCCCCAGGGGCGGACTGACAACTCATGGGGCCCCCGGGCAATAGGGGATCATGGGGCCCCTGTGTCCTCACCTACACTCAAAGCACACCCAGAAAAGCCTATGAAAGGTACCAGGGGCATCTCATAGGGCCCTTTCCTGACCCCGGGCCCTCGGGCAGTGCTCTAGTGCCCAAATGGTCAGTCCACCCCTGGTTGTCCTTCATGGATTCCTGAGATGTTGCAGGGAGCTCTGCAACAGTATACTGTATATGTACGAGAGGCATTTAAGTCAAGCCGGGACTTTTCTTTTTCCAGGTATAAAAAGGAATGCTAGCACAGCGGTACTACACGTAGTGGTGGTAAGTGTGTCCTATTACTGATAAGCTGCACACATGTCGTGGGCCAGTCGAGAGACCGTTAATCAAGATGGCAGACAAAAGTGTTAGTGCGTGCATGGAACAGCGTGTGGTGATGACGTTTCTTAAGAACGAAGGCGTAAAACCCGCAGATATCTACAGAAGACTTCAAGCTCAGTACGGTGATGAGACGCTCAACTGCAGTAAGACACTTGAATTGTGTAAACGTTTCAAAGATGGCGGTACGTACGTCAGTGATGATCCTGGCCATGGTGGTTCCCAGCCCACAGCAGTCATTCCTGGAAAACCTGATCCTGGATAATCGAACCATAACCTCTTGTAAACTTGCACAAGAGATGAATCTTTCTGTGGGAACAGTGAACACAATGATGACGAAGTGAAGCCAGCTGTCCTGGGATGGTCCAGACGAATGGGCAAAACTCTCTATGCTGAAGCTTTCCAAGTATTAGTTAAACACTGGGATATAAATGTAGCAGGGGAGTATGTTGAAAAATAAATGCAGTTTCCACTCCTTTAAATTTGTTCTTTTCTTATATAATCTCAAAATGCCGGTTTTACATGAACGTCCTTGGTATATTAAAATTATAAATAATTAGACAATGTGTTAGAGGTCCAAACGTATTCCCATTGGAACAAGACACTGGAATCGGTTCCTGTTCCTGTCTGTGTGTCTCCTCCATAGATTTATTCTTGTTCATCACACAAACCCATTCTGTCGTATGGGAACTTCGGGCTGGATGGTGCTCTAAGTAATTTCTTCTCAGCTGATTATTCCAACCACTCACCGGGCTCTTTGGGATCGGGCCATTATTTGATGCATTGGTTGGTCACAGGGGCGGACTGACAACTCATGGGCCCCCTGGGCAATAGGGGATCATGGGGTCCCTGTGTCCTTGGCCAAACTCAAAAAAAGCCTATGAAAAAGGTACCAGGGGCATCTCATGGGGCCCCCTACTGACCCCGGTCCCTCGGGCAGTGCCCGAGTTTCCAAATGGTCAGTCCGCCCCTGGTAGGTCATCATTTCAAGGAAATCTTGTACTATCCCAAGCAATACCTGCAGAGAAGAAGTGGCGTCTTGGGTTTTGCTGAGGAAGGCACTCCTTGGAGTTTACCTGGAGGGTTTACTGGGTGACTTTTTCAGCACAGCAATGATTTTGGCCATATGTTAACCATGATCACTTGGGTCTCTTACAGATTCTCGTTCCCCTAAGGAAGAAAAACAGTCTATTCAAAACATGTTGGAGGTGAAAAGAATTGTCCCCAACACGCTTTGATCATTATCATAGCCTGATATATTGTTTTTATTTTTATCTATGTTATTTTAACAAGTTTCTAATAAATAAAAATTTAGAATGACATGTGCGTGTATGAGCAGAGTGCCTGAAAAGTCCCATCTAAACATAGTAAGATATATTTAAAGATTCAGGGATGTTGGCATTTATAACTAAGGTGTGACCACTTGGTTGTTGTTTCTTATATTTTTTTATATTATAAGAAAGGTTTGCAAACGGACAAAGAGTAATACAACATGTCACCATGTATAAGTATATAAGACAAAAATCTGACAAAACGTTTTACACGGGACAGGTTAATCAACCAGAGGGAACCTTATCGTTCGGAATACTATATAGTTTTGAACATCTAACTTGGGGTATATGCGGATGATCAGAGGCATAATTAGACACTTCAGGGCCCCAGTGCAAGAAATCATGAAGGTCTCTCCTGACCCCCGGCTGGGACCCTTCCCTGTAGGCCCAGGGCCATTTACGTCTGCTGTGGGACCCTTTTTATTATAGTCTCACAACGGGTCCCTTTCACATGTTCTGCAGCAGGCCCCCTTCCTGCCATCTTGAGCCCCCACCCTATGTTGGCGGAACGCGACTTTCACAGTTTCACCACTGGTATCAGTAGTTTTGTATTTATTTTTTTTTATTACTACTATCTACTACTTCTACTACAATTTTTTTTTATCATTTTATTTTATTTATTTACAATTTTATTTTTTATTATTTTTTACAGTTTTCTTAGGAGCCACGGGGGGGGGGCTTTGGTCAGATAGCAAGGGGTCTAAACAGACTTCTGATGTTCCACCTTTGAGACAGAGAAAGAAGATTGAGGACGCAGCCCTCAATCTCCATCTCTGCAGCCTCAGCAGCACAGAAGGAATGGATAGGAATAACTCTGTATAGAGCTTTCTGTTTATTGACTAACTGATGCATAGTAAACACAGTCTATTATACCTCAGTTTTGAATGAAAAGAGTCAATGAATGGTATCAATCACTGACTCTGTCCATTCAGGAAAGGAAGGGGCTGGTAAATTACATATTTACCGGTCCCTTTCCCCACTCTCCATCCTGCAAGCATCCCCCGTAGTAGCTGGTGGGAGAGTGGAGGGAGGAACCTGGCAGTGCTTTGGGAACTGGGGGGGAGAAGGTATCACACAGGGGCCTGGGGAAGATGGGTCTAGATAGGAGGAACAGCATGGGTTGCATATAGAGGAACAGATGCCCTCAATTTTCCTCCTGCATCCGCTGAATGATGATGGAAGGGAGAGGAGGAGAAGCAGGCTGCAAGAGGAAAATGGAGGGCATCAGTTCCTCTATATGTCGCCCCTGTTGCCACTCCTATTCAGGCGTACAGGGAAGCTGCATGGGCCCCCTGGAGCATGGGGCTGGGTTGCAAATGTGACCCCTGCAACCTCTATAAGTACACCCCTTGGGATACCCCATAGGATATGTCCATAATTTTATTATAAACTTGGAAAATTTTGTTGCAGAAGGGGTAGCCTATGGTCAGTCTGGTAGTCTGCGTAGGTAGTAGCTGACACTTCATCAGGATGATTCCAGGAAACAGAGCAGCTGACAGCGGACAGATGTCACAGTGAAATAGGCTGGTAGCAGACAGGCTAGCATGGTACTTGTCTGATGACAGGCTGTGGATGTGCTATAGGAAGCAGAAGCAAGAAGAGAGCGTGCTGGACTGAAGCAGCTGAAGCAGCTGAAGCAGGCAGGAATGTCCATGCACATCTGCTTTGCCCGTTCCCGACCGGTGCATACTTATGAGCCTCAGAATTCCATTTGTATTATGACAAAGCTTTTCCTGACAGCTGCCGATACAGTTAAAGTGTTACTAAACCCACAGCAGTAAAATCAGTCTGTATACTCAGTAAAGCATGCTTGGTATTCCCACTATGGAACCTAAGGGGTTAATCCTCTGCATTGTGTAAACAAAAGATGTTTGATCCTGTCTTCTCTGATCCTCCCTTTCTTCTACTGACCCCAATCCAACTCCTGATAAAACAGAGCCTTGGGGGCAAACTGCTCAGTTTTGTGTGTATTGCTATAGAGAATTTTGTTTTCTTGGGAGAGTGTATGTGCTCAGCACAGGACCAATCAGCACTGTTCTGACAGAGGTCAGGGGTCCTACAGCCTCATAGGACAATCAGGGAAGAATGAAAACTCCTCCTACAGGCTTTAACCAGTGCTCTGTTTGATATTGATAGAAGTCACAAAAATTCTCTAACTGCTGATGAGAAAAGGAATTTTTTTTGTAAAATCTTTACAAATGTACCATTAAAATTAACCCAATTTATAAATTTTTAAAGGGTAGAGACTTTGTTGCAAAAAAAAAAATTGATTAGGGTGTCTCAATTTTTCTGATGAACTGGCCTTTGCCTACTGACAAATTGTGCTGTAATTCCAATTGGGTGGTGTTTTTATGTGCGATCCAAAAAGCAAAATATGATGTGTTAATATTAAGTCCCCCTGGTTGTGTTGTGTCGAGGTTATGGATCCAATCAGGGGCGGACTGACAACTCATGGGACCCCCGGGCTATAGGGGATCATGGGGCCCCTGTGTCCTTGCCCAAACTCAAAAAAGCCTATGAAAAAGGTACCAGGGGCATCTCATGGGGCCCCCTACTGAGCCCGGGCCCTCGGGCAGTGTCCGAGTTTCCAAATGGTCAGTCCGCCCCTGGATCCAATAAGCTTCACGACAGAGGAGGAAGTTGTCCCGATCTCCTCCTCTCGCTGATCGACTGATGTGTTTGATGGTCCTGCCCCTCAATTCATGTACCTGGTGCTGCATGACCGCGCAATTGTCAGTTAAAGTAACACAGCGCCATATCGCAAAAAAATGGCCTGGTCAGGAAGGGGGGTAAAAGGAGGGCAAGTGGTTAAACTTCAGCGAATGGTTTTCACCACGTCTAGATGCCTAAGTCCCCGGTCACACTGGATGCAACTTGGCATGCGATTTTCATGCTATACAACTTGCAAATCGCATGGCAAGTCGCACTCTATTGTCTGCAATTATGCCGATTTCTTAAGTAGCCCATGCACTACTTTTGGTGCAATTTGCATAGACATCTGTGTCAGATGTCTTGCAAATCGCACCTCAAATTGGCATTTCATCCGACTTTGAAATCGTGCGACTTCACTGTAATGCAGGCCATAGACGGGTCATTTATTGACCGAATTTTCGTCCGCACAAAAAATTGGCCAATAATCACGCCATTAGTGGGGCCAGCCCGTCGGCCGTTTTTCACGGATCTCCTCATTTATTTTTATCGGTCATGCTGGAAAATCCGCAAAAAACAGCCGTTTTTCGTGGACATGGGTGGCAGCATTGGCAACGGGGCCAACCAATTTTTCGTTTATCGGCCAAAAATTCAGCCGATAAACGGCCCGTCTATGGCCTGCCTAGGTTGCACGATTTCAAAGTCAAGATCGGTGTGACCGGGGGATAAATGTCTTGAGCAGGGGCGGACTGACAACTCATGGGGCCCCTCGGGCAATAGGGGATCATGGGGCCCCTGTGTCCTTGCCCAAACTCAAAAAAGCCTATTAAAAAGGTACCAGGGGCATCTCATGGGGCCCCGTACTGACCCCGGGCCCTCGGGGCAGTGTCCGAGTTTCCAAATGGTCAGTCCGTCCCTGGTCTTGAGTTGCTGTCATGTGATTGGCTGGTTAGCAAGTTGCGTTACCAAGCAATTGAACGGGTGTACCTGATAAAGTGGCCGGTGAGTGTATAGAAGGATGGCAGTGGGGGCGGGGAGTGCCTCCGCTGCTTATGATTGGTGCTATGCTGACAACTTCTAGTGGAATAACATCCCAATAGTATCCAAACCCACCTGAGCTCATCCCTGATCACTGTGTATTGGGGTTTTTTTCAAAATTGTCGGTCATTTTAGTTTATAGCGCAAAAAGTAAAAAAACGCACAGGCAATCACATACCACTGAAAGAAAGCTTGATTTGTGGGAAAAAAAGGACGTAAATTCCATTTGGGTGCAGCGTTGCATGACCGTGCAATTGTTAGTTAAAGTAATGCAGCGCCTGCATGGCCTGGTGAGGAACAGGGGTAAATCCTCAGAGGGCAAGTGGTTATTACAGATTTCCAATGACTGAAATGGGTGTCCAGATCACACACTGGCATCCTAAGCAGGATTGTATTATAATTTTACATACGCCCCCTATCTGTGACATCAGGGATCTCTACAATGTTCAACCCTAAACTGAGATAACACCCTGCTAAGCTGACTGACCCCGCCCTCCTCCTCCAGCACACACGATCCCCCCACCCCCTTTACCCAGCACAGCGCTCTGCCCCTCCCAACATGGCCGCTCCCTCACTACGCTGCCCGGCTGAGGCGCTCTGACGCGATGACGTCCCGGGGCGGTGCGGCACGCCCCTTGCGGTGACTCCATTTTGTGCTTGTGGCCGAAGCTGCGGCTTGTATTTCCGGGTTGTCGGAGCCCGGGGAGAGCGGAAAGTGGAGGGAGCTGCGAAGAGAGGGTGAGATGGCGGGGACGGGGTTGGCGCTGGTATAAAGCGGGCTCCTCACGTCACTGGCAATGTGTGCAGCCTGTGTGCGGGGTGACAGGGCCAGGCACGTCCTCTACACCGGCCTGGGTGGGAATACCCGTCCACCACAGGCTCGGGGTGTGCTGGGACTGCTAGTCCTCCGCCAGCAGGGGGCGTAACATTCATTTCACTCCTCCTGTGCGGGGCTCCTGGAATGCAGTCGCCCATAGCAACCGAGAAGAGTGTGTATCCTAGTGACAGCTGACTGGTTGCTATGGGTTACTGTGTTGGTAGGTTTATCAGCCAGTTATTTTGTGTGGAACTACAGGTCCCAGCCTTACCTTCCAGTCACTATGTGCCTGGCCTCATCCACCCTTCCCGGGGACAGAAGACGGTATATGATGGATTTCATCTCTTATGCTGGGACTTGTAGTCCCTCCGCAGTTATCGCAGACATGGCTTTAGTTCCTTTACAGCTGAGATGGCCAAACACGATACATTCGCCTCTAAGACGGACATATACTATGCAATCAGATTGTACGATCTCCTCTAAGACAGACATATACTATGCAATCAGATTGTACGACCTCCCCTAAGAAGGACATGGGCCGTGCAATCTGATTGCACGATCTCCCCTAAGACGGACATGCGCCGTGCAATCTGATTGCACGATCTCCCCTAAGACGGACATGCGCCGTGCAATCTGATTGCACGATCTCCCCTAAGACGGACATGCGCCGTGCAACCTGATTGCACGACCTCCCCTAAGACGGACATGCGCCGTGCAATCTGATTGTACCGTTTCTTTTAAGATGAACATACACTATGCAATCTGATTGTACAATCTCCTTTGAGATGGACATACACTATACAATATAATTGTGCAGTTCCCTTTAAGATGGCCATACACTATACAATCTGATTGTACAATCTCCTTCCCATTTATGAATCCTTTTTAATATAAGGGCAAATCCTAAACAACCTGATGAAGTGGTATCCATACACAGTTATTATTATTATTATACAGGATTTATATATTATTTTTTATTATTATACACGATTTATATATTATTATTATTATTATACAGGATTTATATTATATTATTATTATTATAATACACAAATTATATATTATTATTATTATTATACAGGATTTATATATTATTTTTATTATTATACAGGATTTATATATTATTATTATTATTATACAGGATTTATATATTATTATTATTATTATTATACAGGATTTATATATTATTATTATTATTTATACAGGATTTATATATTATTATTATTATTATACAGGATTTATATATATTATTATTATTATACAGGATTTATATATTATTATTATTATTATACAGGATTTATATATTATTATTATTATACAGGATTTATATAGCGCCAACAGTTTGCTCATTGCTTTACAATATAACTGGAGACAATACAGCAACAATACAGTTCAATACAAGAGGGTTAGGAGGGCCTGATCCTTGGAGCTTACAATCTAGGAATGGATGGTGGAGCGATAGGAAATTGTACAATCTTCATTGGGCGACACGAGATGACGTCACACAGGCGCAGGAGGTCACTCATGCTGGCACACAGGATCCATGTTGGGATGTAAAGTGGTCTGTGCGTGTTCAGCACCATATGCAGCCTAAAGAACACGGTGAGCCGGCAGGTGGGATCCTTTCATTGCAGCAGAGACCTTCCATCTCTCCTCTTCATAGAGCCGGCCTGTTCACAGTATGGAATGGAGACTTGTAGTTCCGTTTCGTCCTGGCTTCACATATATGCGTGTCGAGATCACTGTTCAGTGACACCATTGTGTGTTCAGTTCAGTGCTCAAGTCGCTCCCATAGAGTTCAGTGGTCAAGTCGCTCCCATAGAGCTCAGTGGTCAAGTCGCTCCCATAGAGCTCAGTGGTCAAGTCGCTCCCATAGAGCTCAGTGGTCAAGTCGCTCCCATAGAGCTCAGTGGTCAAGTCGCTCCCATAGAGCTCAGTGGTCAAGTCGCTCCCATAGAGCTCAGTGGTCAAGTCGCTCCCATAGAGCTCAGTGGTCAAGTCGCTCCCATAGAGCTCAGTGGTCAAGTCGCTCCCATAGAGCTCAGTGGTCAAATTGCTCTTAAAGCGGTGTTCCACTCACCCTGTCAAAAAATAAGTCAGCAGCTACAAAAACTGTAGCTGCTGACTTTTAAAATACAGCCACTTACCTGTCCCGTGGTGTGTCCCCTGCAGCCAGTTTCACCGGCCATCTTGTATTCTAGGAGGCCAGCATCTTCAGTGTGGGCACCCGGCTGTGATGGCTTGCTGCTTCACAGCCGGGTACCCACTGTGCATGCGCAAGTAGCACTGGGCTTCGTGAATGGTCCTGTATATATATGTATGTGATTTTGCAGTTCAGGGTAGGGGGGCACGCACGCGCCCTACCCTCGCCGCCATTCGCGGCCTCGGTTGTCTATCACCGGGTCCCGGCTGCTGATTCCCCGCTGACACCCGGCAATCTCTTAGTATTACCGATGGGGGAGAGACCTGTATGTAAACAACACAGATTTCTCCCATCAGCTCATGCACACTGCTTTGTATGGCTCTGCATAGCTAAGGCATACAAAGCAGTGTACCTACAGTGTAAAGCACACACATAGAAAAATGCACACAGTTAACACTTTGATTGCCCCACATGTTACCCCTTCTTGCCCAGTGCCATTAGTACAGTGTCAGTGCTTTTTATTAGCACCGATCACTGTATTGGTGTCACTGGGGATGTCGGTGACACCAAGTCAGTTCCCCTCCAGTGTCAAGATGCCCGCCGCAGTCTCGCTAGAAGTCACTGATTGCCGTTATTACAATAATAAACCCAGTATATATACCGCCATTTTTAAATGCTTTAACTTTCACATAAACCAATAATTTACACGTACTGGGATTTTTTTTTTAGCAAAGACATAGCAGAATACATTTTGGCCTAAATTTTATGATGAAATTTAATAAAAAAAAAAAAAATTTACTGGATATGTTTTATAGCAAAAAGTAAAAAAATATAGCTTTTGGTTTTTTTTTTTTTTTTTTTTTCAAAATTGCCAGTCTTTTTTTGTTTATAGAGCAAAACATGCAAACCGCACAGGCAATCAAATATCACCGAAGGAAAGCTCTATTTGTGGGGAAGAAAGGATGTAAATGTAATTTGGGTGCAGCGTTGCATGACCGGTCAATTGTCAGTTAAAGTAATGTAGCGCCGTAACACAAAAAATGACGTGGTCAGGAAGGGGGGTAAGTCCTCTGGAGGGTAAGTGGATATGTACTGTGGATGGGCGAGAACTAGGTAAAGAATAATTATAAAAAGGTATTGCTGTCTTGTAAATCTCTCGGTTAGCCCAGGGGTGTCAAACTGGCGGCCCTCCAGCTGTTGTGAAACTACAAGTCCCATCATGCCTCTGCCTTTGGGAGTCATGCTTGTAACTGTCAATCTTGCAATGCCTCATGGGACTTGTAGTTTGGCAACAGCTGGAGGACCGCCAGCTTGACACCCGTGAGTTAGGGGTTTGTGGTGTCCTTCGGTGGGGCACATCTTAGAACTCTCTCAGTATAGATTGGTGTCTGTGGTTTCTCTTGAACTGGGGGCAAAGGGGTGATGATTCTGGATTCCATACAATGAGGAAGTCTGGCTAGTCAGGTTGTGACATGATTAAAAAAAAATGTAAAGCCTATGTTTAGAAAATAAAAATCAGCACAAGAGACATCACTTGCTACCAGTTTGATGTGTTCCTTGTGTTGTTGGCTCTTGGTTTAGTTGAAATGCTCCTTCTCCAATACCCCCCCCCCCCCCCCTCCTCCTCCAATCCCTGCTGACATAATTTTCTGGTGCAGCGGGGTTGTTAAAGCTGAGGGTGCCTCAAGAGTGCCGATTACGCCTGCCTGTACTATAGCTTCTATGAACGGAAGGTGGAGAGATGATTAAAAGGTCCACTCCCTCCATTCAGAGATCTTTTATTTTGATGCTATAGCTTCTGTGAATAGAGGAGGGGGCAGAAAGGACGGGCATAGTTGCCACTCTTGAGTGCCTGTGACAGGTCTTTCGGCTCTATTAACTCATGCCACACTTGAAGATTAAGGCAGCAGGGTGGGAGGGTCAGGGGAGGAGGAGGAATTAAAGTAAACAGCAGCACAAGGGACACATTGGATTTGAC